GGAACGGCCGTTGACGAGGCTGGATAGTGACAGGACAAGGGGGAATGGTTTTAAACTGTGGAAGGGAGGCAGAGTTCGGTTAGATGTTAGCAGTTCTTCACGCGGAGGGTGGTGACGTGCTGGAACAGCTTGCCGAGAGGTGGGGGATGCCCCATCCCTGGAGGCATTCAATGCCAGGCTGGATATGGCTCTGGGCAGCCCAGTCTGGTGGTCGGCGACCCCGCACATAGCAGGTGGGTTGAAACTAGACGACCTTCAATGCCCTTTTCAACCTAGGCCATTCAATGAGTCTTTGATTCTACGATCTTCCATTCACAGGTGGAAATCTGGACAGCTTCCCAGCCCCCTTGCCGAGAGCTCCACCGCGGTCACCACCATTGGCTGCACCTTCCCCTCTGGAGCGACGCGAGCATCGAGCACTACGGAGGTGAAAAGAACAGCGCACGGAGCGTTACGGGCTGAGCGCAGGCAAGTAGTGCAGGCTGGGCTCCAGCCCGGCTCTCAGGATCTGCTGCCTGTGGAGCTCACCAGGGGAGCTGCCGCTTCAGCTCCAGCTTCTGCCGGTTTCTTTCCGCTGTGCTGGCAAAAGCCTCTTGCTGATGGAGGTGCAGCTCCAACCTTTGGAGCACCTGAGCCACTCGTGGGGAAAGGAGGCTGCAGCAGGAGGAGAAAGTCATCCCTTGGGCTCTGCTGAGCCCCCCTGCCTCTCCCCTCACCCAGCCCAGCATCCCCATGCTGCCGCGTGTCCCCACCCTGCCAGAGTTTTTGGCCCGGGCCGTGCCTATCCCTGAGCTGTGGTGTCACAGCTGCCCGAGTGCCTCAGGCAGCCAGCAGAGCCCGCACACACTTACTCAGAATGCAGTGCCAGCTTGGTTGCTGTTCCCATTTTACTTCCCGGCAGAGGATCCACATCTTTCCTCCACCTCCTCTCCACTTGCTGTCCCCTGGGCTGGGCTGGAGGATGCGGAGCATGCATGCTCTGCCTGGCCAGCAGCTGCCAAAGAGGAGACGCTGTCAGCAAAGCAGCTGGGAGCATGGGGCTGTTTCCCAGAGGCCCTCTGTCAAGGGTCCTGCAGCAGGCCCCGGCAAGCAGGAGACTCGGCCCTGCCAGCCCACGGCTGCCCACCGCCCTTCCCTGCTCCCTGCGGGGCTCCTGCCAAGCTCTCCTCCCAGGGAGGAGCAGGCCAGCCCCTGCCATGCTGCGCGGTGCCCGTCCCGCTCCCACCCCCTCAGCCCTGCTGAGCTTGCACCCTGGCTCAGAGGATGGCGGCTGTTGCCAGCAGGCTCGATCCCTGCTGGTACCTGGGGTGGACGCTGGTCCGCCCCTATGCTCCAGCCTTCCCATGCCGCCCTTTCTGCCTGTGCTTGCTCTACTTGCTGCTTGTGCATGGGCCACGTGTGGTCTGCTTCTTTCCACAATGCAGACACTTCCCGGAGCTCCTGCAGAGACACAGCAGCATACAGGATCAGCCTCAGCCCCTGGGACCTTCCTTCAGCTCCACGCTCCTGCTCCTCGCCTCTGCTGGCTGGTCAGCACTGCTTTGCCCCTGAAGGACCAGGGGCCCCAAAGGCAGACCGGGATCTGCAACTTGTGGCAAACGTGGCTCAGAGGTCGTATTCCACTCTCATGGCCCCTGCTCAAAATCAGAGTGCTGTGGCAGGTGGCAGGCCAGGAGGCAAGAAGAGACAGGGAAGACGTGTAGCACCCTCCATCTATAGAAGAGGAGCTGAAGTAGCGGGCAGAAATGTGAAATGATGGCACCCCAAGGGCTGTGCTCCAGATCACTGCATACACAGAGGCTTTTGCTTCCCTCCCTGTGGAAGCACTCAAGGCCAGGCTGGGTCAGGCTTAGAGCAACCTGGTCTAGAGACAGGTGTCCCTGCCTACAGCAGGGGATTGGAACTAGGTGGTCTGAGGGGCCCCTTCCAACCCAAACTTCTCTATGATTCTACCATTCTGTCATTTGTGCAGTCTCAAGCAGCACAGTCCCCGTAGCAAGGCAGGGCCGGTACCTGCAGCACCCTCTTAGACTCCTCTGTGGCAGGGAGTGCAGTGCTGGTCTGGGCAGGAGTAGATGCTTCCTTCTGTCCTGCTTTCTTCGTCCCGCGGGAGCTGCCTGCACATGGCGGGAGCGCGCTGCAAACAGACACAAGAGGAGTCTGCAGGAGCCCAGGGCACCTCGGTCTCCCCCCGTGCTCCCACAGCCGTAAAGATGGGCTCCGGTGCAGTGCGGAGAGACCCCTGAAGGGAGAAGAGCTTCTGCCATCAATGGGGATCAGCATTCAGCTCCCCCAGGGATCGGGGGCCAGGGTGGAACATGAAGCTGGTGTGTCTGCCTCGGGCAATTGTGCTGCGTGCTTGCCATCCCTGGAGAGAACGGCCCCCACTGGGACACGTGTGTCAGGAGCCTTTCTGGGTGCCGAAAGCTGGCAGCTCCAAAGGGGAGCCCACTCCTACACGAGCGCACGCATCACCTTCTTTTTGCCCAAGGCTCTCACCTGGCAGAAGGCTCCTTCGCCATGTCTTGCTGCCTTGAGCTTGGCTTGCGCTGCAGCAGCATGGAGGGGGGAAGTCTCTTCCACCTCTGCAGCAGCCTGCCGGCAGAGCCCCCTGGAACCAAGACAGAAAGAAGTTCTTCAGAGCAGCCCCACGGACACAGCACGTGAACCTGGATCTGGTCACCCGGCACGGGACAGGGCCCACCTCCCTACAGCTGGGACCCGTTCCCTCACCTCTACTCATCTTCCGCTCTACTGCAGCTTTCTTTTCCGCGGCAACCTCTGCTCTGCTCTTTTCCACAGTGAGCTGAAACCTGGAAACAAAGAGTGACAACCCTTGAAGAAGGATGACCTCCTACCCACGCAGCTGTTGGTGGCATTTATCTATGTGCTATGCAAAGCATGGCATCCTTTTCCTTCCTGGCCATGCCAAACCAGCACACGTAGCCCAAATTCCTCTGCACGTGCAGTCCATTCTCTCTGATGGGAATCGGGACAGCTTGGGCACCAGTAACACAACCATAGTTCCCAGGAGCCAGACTTTCCACGATTTCTCCCCAACTGGATGCCGAGCACGGAGACCCAGCAGGGCACGTCTCAGAGGAGGAGGTGGGAAATAAACCTGTCTCCTGGCCAGCTAAGTGCTGCAGAGGAAATGCGCTCACCTCGGGAACACCCAGATCCCATGGGCGGCTGTCTCTGGCCCAAAGTCAGCAGAATCTTCCATCCAAAATCTCTGCAAAGGGACACAGACCTGCTGGAGGCTTGCCAAGGCCATTTTTTCATGGCTCTTCTCAACAGTAAGCAAGCCTTGCTCCCACGCCAAGAGAAAGCTGCTCTTCACCAAAGCCTCCTCCGTGAACATAAGAGCTTTGTTCTGCTCTAAAGGAGCAGGATGGCCAAATAGAGAGGCTGTGCAAGAGCACTGCCAGGCTTTCTGCAGGGGCAGGGATCCAGGAAATCTCTTTGCCAGTGGAGAAAGCTGTGGGGACAAGCACGGGGATAGGCATTGGCCTGGCCTGCCACGTCCAGGCTGGCCAGCAGTGATCTGACGGCGCACCCTCAAAACCTCCTCAACTTACAGTGCGGAACAGAGAAAGGACGGTGGCATTGCTCTCCAGCGTTGCAATGCAGCTGCAGAAGAACCTCATGAGGAGGAAGTCGTCTTGGCACGTCATAACGCCAATGTTCTTAAAGACGAATGAGACGGGCTCCCTGTTCCTCAGGAGCTGACAATATAAGAGCACGCTCTCTCGCACGCAGCGCAGCACCACGTTCAGCGGGACACCGGAGGCTCGCGAGAGCTGCCGGTAGTTGAGCGACTCAATCTTGACATCGTCTGCAAGGAGAAGGCACAGCCTCACTGCCACAGCAAGCCACATTCCCATGCAACGTTCATAACCAAATCCCATAGAAAATGTTCTTCGGAGAAACAGCTCTGGGGCTCTGGTTCCTTCGGGACGAACTCACGCTGTACCCCGAGCTTTGCAGACAATTCTCTGCTGCTACCGGCCGTTTCCAGAGAGCAGGGATAACACACCCAGCCAGACGTGGGACAGGAAGGGGAAGGTGGCTGCTGCCTTCTCACCAGGGATGATGTCATTGGGAGACTGGAGATCCTGCAGCCACAGCACCCCGATGTCCAGCTGGAAGACAGGCCTTAGCACCGAAACTGCCTCTTCTTTGCTGTGGAATTGCTCTCAGACCCCGGCAAAGACCCCGAGCCCCGGAACCAGGACTCCCTGCACAGGGAAAAGACAGAAAGGCTGACGAGTGTGTACTTTAGGGGCGGCAAAAGCCATGAACATCAAGAGCATGGGGTCACTGCTCTCTGTCCTCCCCACTCCTGATGGACAGCAGGGTGAGATAGGGCTCTCTGGAAAGCTTTGGAAAAATCTGTGATCCCTGCAAGACAGTCACCTCTGCATAGTATTTCCCAACATCCCTTGGCTAGAGAAGATCCCAGGAATTTACAGCACAGGGCTTAAGCCTGGGACTGATTCCCAAGGACATCCTTGGCATAGGGCCTGAAAAAATCCCCCATCCATTTCTCCCTTGGTTCTCCCCATTCTGACCACAGGGCAGAGCGAAGCCCCTGCCTGTGCCAAACGTTTGTTCAGGGCAGCTCTGGCCTTGGGTTTCCCTCCCAGTTGGCCAACAAGCTGCTCTGGGCTCCCGGCTTGGACTCAGTGTGCTGCTCAGTGTGCTGCTCAGGGAGGGACTGCTCTGCGGGGCCCCCATTCTCAGTGAACCTCTCTCCAGGGCGAGGGCCACCAGCATACCAGTCCACCTTGTTCAGCTTCATCTGTTCCAGGATGTAATCAGACACGGCACCCCAAGGGCTGGGTTGGAACTAGGTGATCTGTGAGGCGCCGTGTACTAAACGGCAGCCACATGGACTCCCCAGAGCCTTCTCTTCTCCAGACTCAACAAGCCCAAACCTCTCAGTCTCTCTCCAAAGGAGACGTTCCCGATGCTGGCCTTTCAAGTCACGTTGCTGATGTCCAAGTTATGTGCCACCATGTGCTAATGCTGTTGTGACAACCGATGGGCTCAACAGGAACAACAAAGACACCAGAGTCTTTGGGATAGGCTTATTTTACTGCCCATGACAAAATAACACAAGCAATAATATTTATTGGCAGCGTCTATAGCAAGAAGGGAAGCTTCACAGAAAAAGGAATAAGCAAGGCAGTGGGCCTACTCATTGCCACGTGAGCTCAGCGATGAAGAGAGGTACATCACCAACTGCCCCAGTACTTTACCATCACCCAGACCCGCAGTCACTGCGGAGCCCCGTTTGCAGTGAGGATCTGGAGAACCTCTCCCAGCCATGGGCAAGTTGCACAGCAATACATCCATCCCACGGTGAGGCGTCCAGAACCGCTGCAAGCAGCTCCAGCCTTTCTCGCACGGAATAAACCAACGTACGGAGCGGTGCGGGGGGACAGCCGCTGCCCTCTTTCTCCTCGTGGCTTTCTCCCCGCAGCCTGGCCAGGGCTCAAGGGGAACGAAAGGAGTCGTGCTGTCAATCCTGCTGTAGCACGGGCCTCTTTAGCAAGACTGTCTGCCCAGCCCCTCTGTGTCGGGCTTCATCAGGTAACGAACACAGCAGCAAAGCCGCCCTCGGCTCCTCGGGGAGGGCCCACCGTCCTCGTGGAAACGCAGCGTGACAGCACGCGGGTTCCAGCAGCACCGGCGCTGTGACTTCCTCTGCCCGCCCTGGAGCCGCAGCCCGCGAGCTTTCCCGGCCTCGCACACTGAGCAGCCGAACCTGCCGTGCTGCACGCGGTCCCTCTGGGCAGAGGCCCGCCAGCTCTGAGCCTCGCCCGGCTGCCGCTTCAGCCGTGGGGAACAGCGGCACGCAGGCTGAGCCGGCCGCCATCGGCGCGGGGTGACGGCGAAGGCCCAGCCTGTCATTGGTCAGCACCGGCGCCGCCCCGCCACCGGCCTCCCTCTCATTGGTCAGCGCCGGCGCCGCCGGCTCTCTTCTCGCTCCC